CACACACACACTTACAATCCTCAGGACTTGGCTCTCCCGCTCAGCTGCTGGACAGTCCTGGAAGCAGTGAGAGCAGGGGCCTTTCCTGAGTAGGAGCACTGCCTTCTCCGAAGGGCTGGGTGGGTTCCCTGCAGTCCCTCCCTGCCTCCTACACCCTGGCCCCCTTCCCAGAACTATACGGCCTTAGAGCTTCAGCCTCAAGGTCTTCCCCCTGACACCAGACCCCCAGAAGTCACCACACATACCCTCTCCCTTCTCCCTCCTCAGAGTCAAACTTCTGGGGTGCCCCTGCCAGGTAGGAGACCCCTTCCCCACATCGTCCCCTACCCAGTGGCTGGGCACCTCTCTTCCTTCTCTCGCCTCTTCCTGCCCTCACACCCGATCTTGTGCTGATTCACAGGTTATAAAAAGCTTTCACCTGACTTGGTCTCTACAGCCCGGGCCAAGCCTGGCTCCTGGTTTTCCTACCTCCTGCAAGGCCTGGCTCAGCTTCCCGCACAACTCCCCAATCTCCTGGCAGGTCGAGAAGTCGTTTAAGTGGGTGAAGAGGTACCTGGCAGGGAAAAGGATGGAACAGTGGTTAGCAGACTGTGCTTAACAGTCAAGTCACAGAACCACTTAGAGCCGACTACTGATCTGAGGCATGGGAATAATATCTAGTCTGATGGGTTTTGGTTTGGGGTAAAGGAGGTGGTTGATACCGTTAAGCAGCTTAGCACAGGACTTGTTAGTCAAGCACCTAATACTGCCAGGTTCTGTTTAGGCACTGGGGAGACAGAAATTAAACACAAAATTCCATCAATAGTTTAACTTCAACTGCTGTGAAGTGTAGGGAGCTCTGAGAGTATGAAACAGGGAAGGCTTCCCTGAGGAGGTGACACTCATGCAGGGATCTGTGGGACAAGCAGCAACCAGTGGAAGGGGAGGAGAAGCTCTCTATGCAGTGTTGTTGATAACTGCTGTGATTACAAGCTGGGGGTGGGGGTGCGGTGGGAACCCAGGTGTCCCAGTACCCCTGCACAGACCAACTAACCTCTTTGCCCTGCTCCAGCATATCTGAGCAAGAGCCAAGCTCTGTTTTTCTTTCCTAGGCCCTGAGGATGCCAAGGATGAGAAGGGTCCCCTCACCAGTCACCCCAACTCCGTACCCTAGGAGGAGCCTGAGGTACCTGTTGAGCCAGAAGAGGAGGGTACGGGCCTCACGCACCAGCTCCACAGCAGCACTGAGGACATCAGCAGGGGGCTCGGCACAGCCTCCCAGGTGGTCTTGGACTAAGCTCTGGAAGACATGGGTCCCCTCCAGCAGCCCCTCTGTCAGGCTCTGTAGGTTCTCTGTCTGTAGCCCAGAGCTCTGTGCCAGAGAGGGAGCAGGTTACCTTCCTGGCAGTGGCCAGTCCATCAGACATCCCCAGGTGGGTGGAAGCTGCTGCCAATGTGGCCACCATTCACTCACCAGGGCCCGGAGCTGTTCCACCCCTTCCAGGATAAGCTCCTGGTGGCCCAGAGGCCACACGGTCAGGGCCTCAAGACTACGGGGGCAGAGCTGGAGCAGGTACTTGCCAGGCAGCTCCCAATCCTCAAAGCGGTAGTCTTGCAGGGAATCATCGAGGCCTGGAGGAACAGCAAGGGTCAGCATGGGGGAGCCAAGGGGGTGTCATGGCCTTTCTGGCCACTTCTTCACTCCCATAAAGCTCTTTTCCCTCCCATCTGTTCCTAATAACAATCCTAAGACCTAGGTTGTGTTCTGCCCATTTCACAGATGAGGCTACTCAGTTGAGGATAGTTTAGGGCAGTGGTTCTCAGACCACCAGCAGCCTCACTGGAGAGCTAATTAGAAATACAAATTTTTGGCCCCACCCCATGCCTGCTAAATAACTCAGGGGCAGGGCCCAGCACTTCTCGTTTTAACAAATCCTCCAGGTGTTCTGAAGCTCGCTTGTCTACTGAACAGGGAGTAAGAACATGGATGGAGCTTGTGAGTCAGGGAGGCCTGAGTGCCAGCACTGGAGAGAGCAAGTTAATTGCTCTGTACCTCAGTTTCCTCACCTGTAAATGGTGACAATAAAAGCACCTACCTTCTAATCATATGTAAATGACATGATACACACTTGGTCAAACACTTGGTCCATTTCCTGGTTTGTGGTAGACCATCAGTGACAGCCACTATTATCGCCAGACTTTTTACCATGGTCTACAAGGCCCAGTAGGATCAGGCTCCCCAGTGCCTCTCCAGTCTCACCACTTGACACAGCCCCTAACACTCAACACTTCAGATCCAGAGCACTAACTCCTTGCAGCTCCTGGAACGTTCTTCTGTCTCGGGGTCCTTGCAGGTGCTACTCCTTCTGACTGGACTGCTCTTCCAGCTCCTTCACTCCCTTTTTCATCTAACTCCCTCCAGGAAGCATTCCAAGACTCCCCAGGCTGGGCCGGGGGCCTCTTCTGCTCCCACTACCCCCTGTGCCTCCAGAAACACCTGCAACTGAGTATCAGCCTCTCCCACTTTATCAAGAGCTCTTCAAGGACAGGGACTTAAATGACCGTTCATCTCTAATTCCAGCCCTCGCCTGGTACAAGGTAGGCCCTCAAAAATAGATATCTACTGAATGCTTACTAGGAGCTGGGTAAAATTTTAAGGGCTTTAAACATATTCAGGATGTGAGGGCAATCTGGCTGTGACATCTGTCACCCATTGATTGACAGGGTTGATTCGGCTGATCTGGCTGGCTAGGTGGGTGTCCCCTTCCTCCCTCAACACTCCATGTGCATCCCTCCTGAAGCTGCACTCTGGGGTGAAGAGAACAACCTTCCCCAATAGAAGAGAGGACCGTTCTTCAGTCAAGGGTTAAAAATTAATTAATAAAAAAATGTTCAGATATTTGATCCTCACCGAATCTAGAAGGTAGAGACTACTGTTATTCCCATTTTAGAGATGGGAAAACATAACCTTAAAGGCTAACAGTTTGCTTGCCCTT